GAATTTTCTGAGTCTCTTTCAGTGGAGCAGAGTATGTTCCCTTCGGAGCTTTCCTACTAATGTTTTCAAGTCTAAAATGATTTGCCTTGGTCTGAAAGTCCATTTTTAAGTATTTCTCCTATTGCTTATTGTAAGAGAAGCTGTATTGAAAATTTAGGGAGGAAAAAATGATGGCTGAATTTGAAACATGTTTTAAATGTAATTACAATTGTGGATATATTTCAGTATTTTAAATTTAGTCAAAGAAATTATGTGCAGATTTGATCTAAATGGTTTTTCAGGAACTCTTGCAAAGTCCTTGCTTTAGGACTGTTAAGAGCAGCTGTTTTTCATTTGCACTAAAACTGCACTAGCTCCACGCTCCACAGCCGCCCCCCCCCCCCCCCCCCCCCCCCCCCCAAAAAAAAAAAAAAAAGGTAGTCTGAAGCTGCAGTTTTTCATGATGATTTTGCCAGACCTGGCACTTTAATTTGTAGTGTATACCTGAAGTAGTTGCAACTTTTTAAATAAATGAGAGGAGGAGATGGTCAACATAGTAGGAAAACCAGTTTTACCACAGAATTTGTTCCGTCACTTTTTAGTGTCCTGTAAACAATGCAGAGAGGTTGAGCCACATCAAGTGTTCGTTCTAAAATTGGTTTTCATTATTCATTGTGATTGAATGCTGTACAAAGGCATGGTACCCTCTAAAGCGCCTGTTTGATCAGGTTCACCTGACCAAATGAATCTGGCTGCATGATTGGCCTGGCCTTAATTTCTAAGTGTTCTTTGATTGTTGTAAGTCTTTGTTTTCTCAGTGTAGCCTTCAGCATACTGCTTCTGGTTGGTAGCTACAGTGCTACAGCAGGAAATATTTAGGGTAATAATTCCTGTGATGGTGTCCTCATATGTTTGTGAATCTGTGTCAGCTCCTGTATTTGCTTGATAGCCTTTTCTCTTGTTTGCAAGACTGACTTATTTTCAACTTATATAACATTGCTGAATGTTTCAGAAACACTGAAATTGAATTGAGTTCATGCTTTTTGTTAAAAGTTAAAGGAATAAAATGAATGGATTGTTGTTTTCCATTTTCCCAAGCAGTGACTGAACTGTGTGCTTAAAATTGCTAAGTGGTTAAAAAGTTGGAGATTTGAAACCCAAATTCAAATAATCTGAAGCTGTGCAAGTAATCTGGTCAAGCAGCTATGCTAGCTGAAAGCATAAAGCAATGTCACACAGCTATACAAGAGAGAACATGATAGCGTCATGCGGGATTTATTTTATAGATATAGTGATTAGTCATACAATGGATGTATCAAAAAAATACAAACCCCTTGTGCTGGAAAGGTGATCTTGCCCAGTCTTTTCCTCTCCATGATTATTGCCTTGTCGCTGGGAAGGGATGAGGAAGGAGAACTTGAAGTAAAAGACTATAGTCATGGTAATGCTTGGAGTAGTCATTTGTTGAAGCTGCTGGAAGATGAATGCTATATCCCCAACCCTTCTCTTTTCCACGCAGGTATCTTTGCACTCTGTCATCCTCGTAGAGGAAAGGATGGTGCTCAGGGGCAGCAGATTCTTCCTCTCTTCAGTGGAAATCATGGAAGGCCATATCAGATTGCCAGGCTTCCAGCTAGGCACTTCAATGCCAAAATATCCCTTAAAGATCCACACAAGGGACCTAAGTCCCTTCGCTGCTTTATAAAACGCTATCTTTCAGGCTACAACTTTTTTCCAAAATGTTTTATGTTGTGAAGTGTCACTGAGCTGTGACAGCCTGTCTTCTAATTCTTGTGCTGTCTCTTAGGATTTCATAGAGTCATCAGTGGCACTTTTTCAGTCTGATGATGAAGATGGGAAAGCATTAGACATCGTCAATGAAGAAATCCCTGATTTGGAGCAGGGTGGATTTGGCCCAGAGACGAGGTCAATTCTTGTGAGAAGTGGAGTGTAAGTCTGCTGAAATATATGGATCGAAGTATTAAGTATTTTTGTGCACAGCTGGGTTTGGGTACATCTTTGACAGAATATATTTCACATGGTACAGGTGGTAAACATTTGGGGGAGAATGTTTCAAGATCTTAGTTTTCTCTAAATCTCATGCCTCCACCTTGATTTGGATCTGGGCATTCTTGTTACTAGAGAAAGCTTGTGGTGTCCCTCCAGAGTTCTCACGGACTGTAGTTTCACGATGCAGGAGCTTTGGCAGTAATACAGAAGAGGGATTTTAGGTATGTTAAGAACTGGGATACCTTTTGGGACACGTGGAGCCTGTACAGAAAGGATGAGCTGTGCCTTATTTGTACTGAAGTCAGGCTGCTGGCACTGAAAATTAAAACAGTTTTTAGAGAACTATTTAAACTAAAAACAGGGGGTTAAACCAACAGGTGTGGAATAGTACCCGGTTCAAGCTGATACAGCCTACAGGGTGGACTCTGCTAACTTTCGGTGTGCATATGTGAAGTCCAGGAGGAAAATAAACACCACAATTGCAATAAATAAGGAAGGTAAATGAGAATGCCTGCAATGTCTGTCGATGGACATACGTGGTATTAACTGATGGAGCAAGGACAAAACTTAAAAGTGCTAGAAGCCTAAAAAATAGTATGGGAGAGCTAGAATGCTGGGCATGAAATAACAGCTCTGATATAGCAGATAACACAGAGATTCACAGGAAGGATAAGCAGAGGAGCTTCCAACTCTATAGGAATGGTAGAGTAGACTATTATAGGCAAGGGAGTGGTACTGTACATGAAGAATGGTATCAAGTGCTAAAACATAAAAAATGTTATGGGAAAAGAGCACTATGGAATCATGTGGGTGGAAATCCCAGACTTTAATAGTAATTTTAAAGTGCAGTATTAATGTTGTCATACCTACCCTAATGGTGATGGTGATAGGGACCAACAACCGTTAAGTGAGACTAAAAAAGCTTCAAATTTAGGACAGGTAGCAACAGTGGGGAATTTGAACTGCTCGTATAGAGACTGGATATTAGTGTCTCATGAGGATGAGAGACAAGGATGAAAGGCTGGGACTCAATTTGGAGAAGAGATGGCTGAGGAGGGATATGAATGAGATCTGCAAAATCCTGAAGGTGGTAGACAAGCTTAATGCAGCAGCATTCACAGAATCCTGCATGACAACAATTGGGGGATGCTTTACAGAACTAGCTGAAGATTGCTTTAAAACAGATTTAGAGGTGGGCAGCAAAAAGCCTTTTTTACACCGGAGGCAGTGAATTTCTGGAACTTGCTGCTGAAGGAGGCTGTGGTAGCAGATAGCACCAGGAGGTTTAAAAAAGCATTAGACAAATTAATGACAAACAGATTCATAAATGGGTGCTAAAAGCTCTAGGAAAGGAGATGCCCGCTAATATCCCTAATATAACAGTCCCAGGTGCTGGGTGACTAAGAGAGGAACGCACCACCAAAAGCAGCTAAGTTAGTGGCGTCTCTCTAACTGGCCTCCATCTACTTCTGCCAGTGCCAAAGAGCGTGTGCAGGTCTAGAGACACCCTCGGTCTCATGTAGTTGGGGGTTTCTTTCTTCTTAAATCACAACAGGGAAAGCAGGGTGGGAGAAGCTTGAATTGCCAACCATTGCAAGCTTTTGCTTTATCTCATCTTACCAAGGCTTCCTCATTTACTTCTCTTTCTTCTTGCACCATTTTTCTTAAACCCAACTGGAAAAGTTGGAAGAAAGCCCTGCCTGGGGGGATGCTGAACAGGTAAAGATTCAGCTGAGAGAGATTCAAAAACTCGTCAGTTAAGTGTCTTTCCTCTGGGCTTCTAAGCAAGGCATCATCTCATGCTGAATGTATATTTGATAGAAAAGCAGAGACCCGAAGTTGTGTGTTTGTCAAACTAATGTTTGCAAAGTAAAAGCAGAAAATCAAGTGTGTGACAATTATGCACCTCTCATTGGGTTTAATGTTACACTGTCTGTCAGATGGACTTATCAAGAAAACTCCAAAGAAAATTGTTCTATTTAACTCGTTAGTATTTTCACCAAACTGCACGGAAAAATGTGATGTTTTCAGTTTAATTTTTGTGTCATTCTCCAGGTGGGTCGCATATCAGCAGAAATATTTCTGCGGAGAACAGTATGTGTTGGAGAAAGGAAAATATAAATGTTTCTTTGACTGGGGAGGATCTAGTAAAATCATCATGTCAATTCGACCTATTAAGTTGGTAAGTTACCAGAAATTGTTAAGGGGAAAACTTAAATGAGACCTTTGGAGTTCAGAGTGTACAATAATGTTATAATGTGGGCTGTGCTGTTTAATCAATTTGTCTGTTTACTTGGAAACAATTTAAAGACCCTTGTGAATGACATAATGAGTCTCTTCAGGATGGAGACTGAAATGGATGCTCTGGATCTTTAAATCTGTTGAGAAAATTGTCAGGGAAACTTCGTAAGAAGAACTTCCCTTTGTCAGACTGTATTCGTGGAAAGAATAACCTGGCCTGGAAAGATTAACTTGCCTTAAAACATAGTAATTTATAATGCCTAACTGATAATGGATATAAAAATACTTGAGAATTTATCTGGCCCATATTGTTGTTTTGTAATAGAGGTCTGATTTTTTTTTTTCTCCTTATTTTAATGCTAAAATATTTATAATACATATAGCGAATAAAGACAGGAAATATTTTTAATCCATAATTAAATCCAAGGTAGTGCAACTTGCCCATATAGATTAGTGCCAGAACTGTCAAAACCCTAATGCAAAACAAAGACAATCCTCAGTAATAAGTATATAATAAATGATACTACTGCACTGAAAATAGGAGAGGAACATTTAACCTTATTTTGAAGAACACGTATTGAAAGAGGTGTCGCAGTCTTCTGTTGGTTTTAATTCCATCTTTCTTTTTTTCAAGAACTAGACTCAAAAATAAATGCAGAAACATTTACGTGGACTCTAATCCACATTATGTGAACTAATTAATGCTAATGCAAGTTCTCTGTATGAAAGGCACTGAACAGTCAGGCAGGTAGTCATGAGCTTACAGGCAGCTGATGGCAGAGGCTGGGGAAGAGAATTGTGTCAAGAGCCTGGGAAGTGTGGTTTTCTCTGCTCTTGAGTTCATAATTAACAAATTTCAGGAACTTGACATGTCTTCTAGGAAACTAATTGTAATTAATGATATTTATATGCATGTGTTTATATTTATTATTGCAGGAACCGCTTGGAACGAATGAGCCTCCACATTTGGTATGTTGACATTATATAACAGTGTCTAGTACTAAACTACATTTAATAATTAAATACAGGTAATCTTGAATGTCTTGCTTTGTTACTTCAGATGATATCTCAGTATTATCATCTCCATACAGCAGACCATTGATGGAGGAAACTGGGAGATGTCTAAAGGTTAAGTTTGCTAATGTTCTGCTCTTTGCTGTGTTCCAGATCATACCCTTTAGTATTCTGTCCTTAAAAATGCAAGCAGTTCATTAGGTTTTGAGTGACTTTGGGTCTCTATAGCTACTGATTTTCCTCTTCTTTCCTTCCTGTTTCTGGAAACTCACTATCACGTGCATTCATCCTTCTCTTTGTGGCATATTTTCTTTCCAATGTTTTGCATTGTATCTGGTTTGTCACTATCTTGTTCACGTATGAAGTGAAGAAGAAAGTATAAACTGCAGAAAATTGAACTGCACTCTTCAAACCTGCAGATGCATCAACAGGGGAAGATGGGTTTTTTTAGTCTTGTGTGTATGCTGGTAGCTCTGCTTTTTGTAGTCTCCCAAGCATGTACAGCTGCTCCTTAAGGAGTAGGCACCACTTGCTCCGTGCTTCCCTTTTCCTCGCAGTAACATATGACCTTAACTGAACACGTCCTGATTATAATAAATCCATGACAAATCTCTTCTACAGTACATTCTGACAATTTCCCTGAAAGTTGTGTCTAACTTGGTTACAACTTATAAAGAGAAAACAGTCCCTATAATTCACTTTTAGTCTCAAGAACGAGTTAGTTTAGGGTTTTACACTTTTGGTCCTTATCTTACAAGGTTATGTTCCATTAATGTACCTTTGTGATATCTTTCTAAAACAAAAACCTGCTCAAAGTGTTTGTGCTCATCACCAGCTATGGTCTGTCTCTGTCGCAACAGGGCTCTCCTCCCTTCCTGCATTAGTTGTTTGATTTCTCTTTTTCTGTCCTGGAGTGTGCTGCTAGCAAGGGTGATGATCTAAGTGGTTATATTGCTCTCTCTATGACATGCTTTTAGTTAAGCAAATTTGGAAAACTTTATTTCAAAAAACATGACATTTTTTCAGACAAAAGAGGCTTTAGAGCTCAATGGTTCTGTCTCAGAAAACTGAAGTATTTTGTCATCTGGACACAATTTTGCTCTTTCTTGCTTGGATGGGTATAATAGCTGTAAGCACGTGGGAAATACATTGTGTTACTTAGCAGGTTGACCACACCCTTCTTTTTCTCCAAGTATTCTAGTTCTACAATTTAATGATTAACCCAGGACTACAGGAAATATTTCCTGTCTGAAGACATAATTGGTGTATTATTTTAGTCTTAAACACTGATTTCCTGCCAGACCTATTCATATGGCAGTTTGCGGCCAAATCCAAAGACTTGCAAGTACGTTCACAGTAAGGCCTTGGTAAATGATACCAGATAAAATAACCGACTCAGAGGAAACCGGTGGGATCCAAACAGTTGAACATAATTTTCTCTCCATCTTCAACTCTTCCGGTTTTTTTTCAGGATCTTCCAAAAACTATCGAGTGCTTTAATCCAGGTTTGCAGACCTTTAAGATCAATTCAAACCTTTGAAGTTTCAATAAATTGTGCTTACAGTCTTTTTATTTCCAGTAATATGTGAAAAAAAAAACACCTGTGTGTGTGTGTATATGCAGTCACCTTTACATACTGACATGTACTAGATTGTGTTTTGCCTTTTGTGTTCTCTAATAGCAGTCTTAACACCATTTGTAAAAAATACTATCCTGATTTATCACAATCCTGGTTTTCACAGGATTCTGCCCTAAAGCTAGGAAAGGAAGAACATCATTCATATTGCTACGGTTCTTTTAGGAGGGGAAATATTTTGAGTAAGTTTTTATGGGAAAACATTTAATCACTTAGGATAAGTAAAGGATGGTCTTTTGGATAAATATGAAGAATTTCCCATTCAGAGTAAAATAAAAGTTTCCGTGTACGCAACAGTCTCTTAGTTTGGAACTTCAAAGCATGTTGCGTATGAGTTGGCAAATCCTTAAGCATCCTAATGTTTGACCCTTGTATAAGCCGTATACCGGTTATTTTGAATGATTATACGTTCTTCCACCTTTAATAAACATATGTCTGAGCTAAGGGAACTGTTTTCACTGTCTACAAGAGTGTGTCTGTTTTTTCACTTCTGTTTTTAGTTGCTCGTCAGAAATTGAAAAGCAGCTACATTTTCCTAAATCTCTCAGTAACTCCCCTGACCTTTTCCTCCTGCCAGGCTCCCTAATAAACAAAGTACATATAATGTAAGAATGCCTGAAATCACCAACTCTAAAAAGCCATTAATTTTATTTATTAAAAATAAAACTTGGTTTTGCCCAGCAAGAACAAAGCCTCTTTCAATAGCAGCTGACTTGTACAGATGATTTAGGAAGCAGAGATAATTGCTGTGATAACTTGTATTTGTATTTTAACATGCTGTCCGTTGACTTTTTGGGAAGCGAAACCTCGTATAGTAATGTCAAACCCTGACAAGCAGAGATAGCTGCAGTTTGAGACTAATCGCAGATATGCAATGTTTTCACCAAGAATCAGTACTTCACCCCAGCTTTTGTCAAATGAAGACCATCGTTCATTAGTAGATATATTCTGTATAAAAGTGAATTACAGATATTTTTTAAAAGCCTTGCACAGCATCTGGCTTATGTAAGAAAGACTGTATGTATATATTCCTTTATAAAGAGCTTTGAGATACGTGGGTAGAAAATACTATGTAATTACAGCTTAAATAGATGCTTTGTGACATAGCAGTGCAATTACATTTACAGAAAAATCAGCTACACTTTATTCATTATATTGTAGCTGATTTGTGTTCTCCAATTTGCAGTTACAGCATGTAAGGCCAGGTTAAGCCTTTCTTGTTCTTTCTAACAGGAAACATACTAATTTCTTTTAAAAACATAGACTGAGCTTTTCCATAAAATCACTCGCTGATGCTTGTGTTTGGCCTTCTCGCTCTGTCCTGGCAAAAGCATTTGATTTCTTTTCTTTGGCAGGAAGCTAGGCCAATTTGGGGCATGAAGGGGAAAGTAGCTCTTGCAACAGCCATCGTGTTTTTCTTCCATTACAGAATATGAGCTGTGCTCTTTATCCAGTTAAATTTTTCATTCTTTTCCAGCCTCTCTTTCAGGCTTTAAAGTGAAATTCACCTCAGTTACACAGTGGCAGCCCAAGGGTGCAGAATTCTAGGCGACTTTGCTATAGATCATAGGCTGTATCATACTACTTTTTTCTTTTTTTTTTTTCTTTTTTTCTTTTACTGCAACACTTTCAACCTTATTGCTTTTTCAGGGTGAATTGATCACATCTTACTGGGGGGGCATGGTTCAATGTGGCTTGAAGTTCTTCACCATGGCATGTAAAAACAGCTTAGCTGAACTTCAGAAGTTCATGGTGCATCTACCAGGCTGTACCCAGTTCCCCCAGAAACTCTTCTGCTAGTTCTTAAATGCGAAACTACCTGCGATCACTGTGGTCACAGATTTCAAGGCACTTTGTCAACAGTAGCCTTGTATGTTTTGACCAACGCTTCCCCGTCCTGTTTTGAACACTGGATTGCTGAGCTGTAGCAAGAGTTAGCTGCAGTTCAGGAGTACTTTGGATGGAAGATAACGTCCTTCAGTCCTAGCCTTCTCTTTTTCTCTGGGCCCTCTCCTGCTGCAGTTGAACTTATGCTTGATACCACTGTCTTAGCATCACTGGGAAGCATCCTGTACCGGGCCCAGAGATAATAAAACACTCGATCTTTCTAAAAATAAAGCAGCTGTAGAAATGTAAAAGATTCCTTAAATGAGAATTCATTCTATTTATTGTATCTTTGTGAACTGAATGGATACTTCTCTTAAGAGCACAGCTGTCTCTGTTTACATTAATGATAATGTGTTTGTTTTCCTTCTAGTCATTGGTTTTGTTTTGTTTTGTTCTTGTAGCTCAAAGCTTTCAGTAATACACATTTCCAAGGAGCATGTATAGATTTCACAGCAGAAGTTTCTGATTTTACATCATTCATACCATGTTCTTTTAAGGTTCTGCGGGGATGGTAAGTCTGTTGTTTTACATGCCATCATTTTAAGTAATATGAAAATTTTTTTAAACTCTACTAAATTTCAGACAGCTGAAAAGTGCATAACACATGCCCATCATATTCCATCACGTCTTAGACCCTTTGTCTTGCAATGCATCTCAGTAACTGTCGTCCTGTCATTGGTTTGGGTAGTATGCATTTTGCTTTCCCTGTGGGAAGTTTGCATAGTTACTGTGATTCTTTTTTTAACTCCAGTTAGAATTTATTCCAGATTTTGAGAACTTGGTACAGTAGAAGTGTCTGCACTCCACTCGCGTCGTTTGATTCTGGAACTGAGATTTCTGTACCACATGATTTGATTTTGCTGCTTTGGTTGCTTTGTCGCGTAGCCTTTCAAGTCATCTTACTTTTAAGCTTAAGAAGAACAAACAAATTTTTTATTCCTTATTTCCTTAGCAAATATTAAAAATAAGCAGCTAGAGCAGCTGATCTTTTCTGTTACATTATTCTTGCAGTTGGCTCCTGTGTTACCAAGGGGAAATCGCTGACAATCACTGTGTGCTGGAAGAAGGCCTCTACGTTGACTTCAGTTCCTGTGGCTGCCCGACTGCTACAATCAAATCCCTCAAGCCTATTCAATATGTAAGGACTTTATTGAAGAAAAAAAAAAAAAAAAAAATGCTTTGGAACTCTTTTCCTAGTCAGATGTCTGAAGCAAGTGCTTGCACTAAACAAACTCCCACTCAGGGAAAAGAGTGAAGTTTGTGTTCTTAGCTTACGGGATTTTTTGGGTTTGGAACAAGCCAGGCTGCATGCATGCATGCACATGGTCACTTGTAGGCACACGCACTTGGGTGTTCTGGGCTCAAAGTTGCTCTCTTTTGTATGAGTTGCATTGGTTGGCATTTTTCTGACTGGTCTTTATAATACAGCTCAGCAAGCTTAGTATGCAGTGAGACATTTTGTCACGCCATCTAAGCAAACAGGGCTTCTTCTATTAGGCCTACAGCCAAGGTTCAGTCTTAAAGCAAAGTACACACAGAAGACATGAAAATTGAAGTTACAAGGTAGCATATACTTGCCATAATGCTGTTTAATTTACTCACTGTTTTACAGAAATATAAAAAAATGTTTCACCTCCTAATGGCATCTCAAATCATGGGTCAATAAAGTGGTATAATACACCACGCATGTGGCCTGTGAGCTGTGTATGACGCATCAGATAGTCCAGTCCAAAGCACATGTGGCCATCCTCTCTTGGTGACTTCTGAGATACAGGACAAGTACTTATTACACATGCATATAGTCTTCATGTGACTTTCAGGTCACGCTGGTTGTACTACCCAAGCATACAACTTGCAGTCAAGTGACCTATTGTAGCAGTAAGGTGTGATACGAGGTCCTCTATGGCCAGGAGATTGGACAGGAGTGCATTGTACTATCAAGTACAAGATAGATACAGCCTTTTGTACATCCTGTTGTAATCCTGCACACGGGACATATGCCTCTGGAGTCTTGCTGTCATGTCTGTGCCTTCGTCCCATATCTTGGTATGCTCCTATGCAAGAGCATCAAAGATAAGCTGGCCATAATGCTGTTGGTAAAAGAGAAGCAAGTGGCTGCTCTGCCCACTCCTCTCTAGCACTGACCAACTTCTCCAAAACTCTTCCTCCTTCCCTGTTTACAGAACACAAACCTAGTCTAGGTGATGTCTGCCCTTCAGTGTAACTCTTGCGAAACTAGACTTTGAAGATTACTCAATTCACTTTTATTCCAGTATTAAGTCCTTTTTTCCATTTGTGAACAGATTAAAAAAAAAAAACAAAAAAACAACCAAAACACACACACACTGCCCCCCCCCCCGAGCTGGTCTTTTCACTAGGTTACATAGATACAGTGACTTCAGTGGAGCTGTAGCTTCCCACCTGCTGTGAGCCTGGTTTTCAGATTAAAGATCTCCTTTTCACATTAGGCTTTTGGACTCTGCTCTGCTAAATAAAAAGTGAAGTTTTGACATGAAATGGTAGGCCTCATCCAAATCCCCCAGCCTGTAATCTCACAGGGGGGAGTAACTATGCAGTTTGGCATAGTAGGAAGCTACTGGCAGCCCTTGATTACCGAGGGCCAAGCCCTGGGAGAAGTGTGTTTGGCAGGCTACGTGTGGGAAGCTTACACACATTTTCCTGTACTTTGTAAGTGGCTTGCACCTCTTAGTTCAGTTCCTTTCTTGCAAATAGGAGCCCTTGTATCTCACAAAATTGAGGCACTAAACAGCAGAAAATGCTATTGAACCACACCTGTTTTACAAATAGAAATGCCCTCATCGGCCCCTAACACATTGTGTATGCTAGTCGAACAGGACAGTGCTCAGAGGCATTGTGTAGTACAGACGTGATGTTAAGCACACAGCAGTTAAGTTTGGTCAGTGGTCACAAACAGCCGTAGTTAATTCTGTGCATTGTCCACAATGCGCTGTTCTTGGAACAGAGCCCTTTTTATTACAAGATATTTCTGTTAGCTCGTTCAAGAGAGCAGCAAGCGTATTCCCAAATGGAATTGTTGTATGGGTTTATTGAATTCAGTTGTGACACTGGGAACCCCTTCCATTATTCGGCTTTAAATACCAGCCCAATTTCAGACCTAAGGTGTGTATCCCGATAGCTCACGTGTAAGAGGGAGAATGTTTAACCCCGACACCAAGCCCTGAATGTGCATTGTCTCCTGCTCTTCTTTAAGTGAGATGTATTTGCTGCAAGTGTAACTGTTGGAAGGACTGTCACGCCGGGGGGAGCCATGTATTGCTTCAGCGTGTGAGGTTTCTGCATCCCAGATGTTGACTAGAAGTAGAGGCCCATGTGTGGCACTGGCAGAGGGGAAAAAAATATGCTTTTAGCAGTACAAAGGACTCATAAGGCTAGCTCGTTACCAACCTTTGAAAACAGTCCAAGTCTGTTGACTGTTGTAGGTGTGGTCCAGCTATATATATTTTAGAAGTAGATTGTTTCAGCTGGTCCTTTGGGATAGGAGAACAAATCCGCTGGAGGAAATGGGGACATGGGATCTGGGCATTCCCTTTCTAATTTGCAAGACTGTAATGGTAATTAACTGTATGTTACCTTGATATTATACAGCTGAGTGAAGTCCCAACTCTGGGCCTTTATCTGTAGGATGTATGGAAGAATATAGATTCTTTGGGCTAACTCCAAAGTAGCTGTGAAACATAGCAGTCAGCACAGGCCACTGACACCTGCGGGGTGTGCAGCTTGGCTGGGCATCCACACCGATTTCTGCATGTGACCCTGAATCAAGGTTCCCCTTTCTGTTCCTATCTGTTCTAGTAACTAAAAGGAACATCTAGCAATGTTTTTGTTATTGCATGTAGCAATACCTTCAGTTTGAGTTCTCACTTATAATCTGTAACCGTTTTGAGGGGCTTTTTGGATGTTGTCAGCTGCCACAAGATTTCTGGGCTTTCGTTTTGGAAGGAGAATTTGAGGATTAAAGTTACGTATTTGTAGTACTCTTTCATGGCATGGGTGTGCTTTTGTGACCTGATGGAACAACACTGTAAGGTGACAGTGGGATTTTTGTGACTGAGTGAGGTAACAGTAATGCCTTAATCCATATGAAACAGCTAAGAACTTCTGCAAAGCCTTGACTGATTTTTTTGAAAATAGATTGACCAGTTGAAGATCAGGAAAGGATTTGAGGGAATAGTTTGTTCTCTGGAAAACGTAGCTTTGATGCAAACAAAATATTTGCAAATAAATATAGCAAATGTTCTAAATGAAAAAAATGAGGAATTTTTTTTTAGGAAAGCAAACTTTTGAGTTTTTAGTTTGAAAATTGCCAGAAATATAATTTGTTTGTTTAAGAGCTTAATTACATAACAAAATGAAAAATATCTTTCTAAATCACTGAGTTGGCCCAATTAAAATAGAAAAAACCCAAAACTTTCAGAGCAATACAAAATGAATTTGGATAAGAAAACAGGCTTAGACTAGCGGTGGTCTGATTTCTTCACTGTAATGACAGTACTTTAGGTTGGCTAGCTTTTGTTCTAACCTTTAGCTCTTGAAGGGATGTTTTATGGGTTCTTTGCTGAAAAGTGAAGGTGTCATCATTTAAGTATGGCATGCTACCCCCACGCCCTCCCCACACACACTCCCCCATTTCTCAATAAATTCAAATTAACATGGTTCCACTTTGGTTATTTCTCCTCCGTTTATTATGCACTGGCATCATAGAGGAATTAAGCACATCTTTGTAACCAGTTTCCTCTACTGTTTGTTCAGGAAGTAGCAAAGGAAAAGTTAGGCAGGTTCCTAAGGAGAGTGGGGAAGGTGTTCCCTTATTCCCAGGAACCTCTTTCCCAACTTGGCTTATTCTCCGAGGTGTATAATACTCGAACTAAATCTTTAGGAGACCCTACCTGTATTTTTTCCCTGCTGTTCTATTTCGCTGAAATTCAGACTGGACCGTTCTGTCCTTCTGGGAGCATTTAGGAAAAGCTGTAGGTAGTAAGAGGATACAAAGAAGGAGCAAAGCATATCTGTACCTTGATAATGAGAAAATAATGCTCTCTGTTTTCAAAAATTGTGTTGCAATACCCATGTATTAATCTAGATTGCATATTGAATGTGTTTCATGGCCTCTTCTGAAAAGGGGAATGCTTCTGAAAGACCAATGAGTCTTTTTCATGTACTGTTTTGTAAGTGGGGAAAATAGGCTAAAAAGCGTATCTCACAGGAACATATTTCTTTAAGTGAACAGGCAGCTACACGCTTTGGAAGCCCACTTAACGTTAGAAGGGTACACATCTATTTAAGTAGTGGTAGGAACACTGGAACTAATGTTACTTGCCTCTCATCATCTCCTTTCATGTAAAAATCCCAAAGCACTCTTCAAGAAAAGCTTGTTGAAGAAATTTGCTGGCATTGTTAATAGCCATTCTGCAGGCGGGTAAAAGCATAGCACAGATAAAGGGTTGCTGCATTTGCTGCAGAGGTGCAGGTTTCCATGCCTGCATCAGCAAGGACTTGCCTTTTGCAGTGCCATGAATTCATGAAAAGGAAAGCATGGCCGCTCACGTGGCAGCAAGAGGGCGGGTGAAGTCAGCTGGGCCATTTATAGGGCTGTGGTTGCTTACAGGGGCATTTGTCCAGTGTTTGTTGCTTGAAGAGCTTTATCTTTTGGGATAGAAACCCTTACAAGATGTTCTTACAACGGGGAGTTCAGCTCTAATGCTGCCTTTCCGCAGGCATGTTGTTTTCTCAAACTCCCTGTAATATTTGGTGTGACTTAGATGGACAAGAATATCCAGGATTGTTACAGTGAGCAATTAGTTTTCCTTCTAAAATGTTAACTTCAGCTCTAAAGTTAAACCGGTCTCATAGTTTCTAAAAAAAAAAAAAGAGAGATCTGGGTTGTGCAATGCTTCCCCCCCCCCCTTCTTTTGCCCCCTTCTTTTTTTTTCTTCTTATCAAAGGAGATGTGGGTTGTGCAATGCTTCCCCCCCACCCCCCCTTCTTTTGAGGCGTTCCTTATTCTTGCTCTGATCAAGCATGATTGGTCCTGTATTTCCATATTGATTATCTACTCTAAGTTAAATACAGGTGTTAACTAATCTCCCCAGCATTCCTGTGAGCAAAATAATGAAATCAGATACCAAAATTAATCGGTGTTTCCCAGGGCCAGGCAATGAGTCATTTTGTGTAGCTGGGACTGGACCGTGGGCGATACTGTTGTCCAGCACCGTGTTCCTCTCCCTCAGTGAGGCATCCTTCCCACACTGAAGGGAGTAGCCAGGCAAGCGCAGCTTCAGTAAAGACAGTTGTAAATGACGAGTTCGCCAAGACTGAAGAGTAAAGATTTTTCCAAGGATGATGTTGTAATACAGCTGTGGAGTCTCCTCCAGTTAAGGCTCTGGCGAATGCTGTTTGCATAGTAACGGGTCAGCAGGGACGCAAACAGGGAAATGTATCAACCCTTGCCACAACTGGGTTACAGTCATGCTTTAGTCTGGCCCCATGGATTTCTTTCTTTGGCTTTATTAGGCTTTCCCATCAAAGTTTGCAAAATCTAAGTTTGAAAAAAAAGGTGCGAGGAAAAATAAGTTTTGGGGCGAGCCCTTCTCAAAAGGGCTTTATCAGCAATAATTTTCACAAAATTCATAACGAAAAATGATCTGTGTGTTATCCATAGCTAAAACTATACTTGTTTTTATTATAAGCATATGTACAAAGTCACTTGTGCACTTGGTGTTCAGTTGTAGCACCTTTTGGTTAGCTTCTTTGTGTCTGTACACTATTGCTTTTCAGTGAGTCAAGCACCTAAGCCTTGCACTGCAAACAAATGGCGTTTGAAAGGAAGCTCATCTTGCACTGATCTTTGTTTAATATCAAACACTTCAGGCTTGCATTGCATTTTTTTCTGAGCTGGTAAAGTATAAAATTCTGTTCTGAATTGTGAAAAATTTGTGGCGCACAGCTCCTCTCCGTTAAAAAAAGGTGGGAGTCATTGAGGGGAAAGTCTGAGCTGAGTTGAACTGTGCAAGAGATTTTTAGTGTGTTGATTTCCATGGCTTACCTTTTAGGCTCTGAAATCACACCGCAGGGAGGGAAAAAAGCTGTGTCATTTTCATGGCATCACATGCTGTATTAGGCATAGACTACCGCACCTGTTAAGTAAAGAATATCACTGTATTTAACAGTTCACAAGGCTGCTTATATCTTGAAATGCTGTGTAAATATAGCCTTCCTTAATCACCAGCCTCTTCAATACGTTAAATCTCTTCAAGTTTCTCCCTGGACACTGGCATTAAAAAACAAGACAAGCAAAATCTCTTGAAACTTTATTGGTGCTGGTTTAAGCAAGGCAATTGGTTCCTTAATTACTTAACCTGATCTTTGTGCCTTCTTTAGTGCTTTGTCATTCTTGCAATTGGCAAGCTTACCCCAAAGAATGGCATTTCAGGTATTTTCCTTGAAATAACTATGAAAGGAAGCTAAGGTAATCCTGACCTAGACATGGCAATGACTTGCCAGTCGTGGGTAAATGTAGGTGTCTTTAGCTCACCTTTCAAAATCGGGGACTGGGGCCCACCTAAAGCAATGCCACAATCTGAGGTTGTCCCCTCTTGTATGCTCTGCCCGCTTGCCCTTCCTCTGGCTCTCGGAGAGTCCCGTTCCTCCTTGGCCGGTCAGGATTGGGCCTTGGTGAAGAAAGCTGATCCTGTCAGTCTCATGCTTATCTATCGGTGATGACTCTTCAGCCTGAAAATGGGTGAAAGTGCACCTCAGCATTCTGCAAGGAAGGGTGGGAGTGAGATGCCTCTGTAGTAAGGGTAACAGCATAGCCTCAAAACCTTGTTTTTTGCTGTTGGTAGTTTCCATGGAGCTATGAAAACAAAATCAGAGAAAAAAGCCAGGCCAAGTCACTGCTGCCAGCTGTTGGTGTAAAACGGTGTATATAAAGTGAGTAATCAGCTCATTGCTCTATATATGGTTACGGAAACATGAAAGCTTCAGTGCTTGAGACAGCAGCATGTTTTCTTTTTCTGTGCTTCACGTCTGTGCCAAGATCAGTGGAGTCCTTCTGAGGCCTCACTGGAAAGGTGGTATCAGTCCTTGTGATCAGCTCTGTGTGTGTGTGTGTCACAGATGCAGTGTCTGCTGCGTACCGACAGGCTGGGGCTCTGAGCAACTGGACAGGGCTTTCTCAGGCCCACTGAGTTCAAACAGTCTTAACCACATGAGAGCTAGAGTCATTTTAATTGACTTCACCAATTTGCTGTTCTGATTCTTGGTGTATAAATGGATATGCTGGATCAGATGACTTGTCTATCTAGTACAGCATCCCTGCCTCTTAACATACTGTTTATTGCAACAGCAGGATAAATTTTAGGCCTTGGTAAAATGTCTAAGAACAAGGATGCCAAATGGTGTTTCCCATGCTTACTAATGCACTTGTGAAATTTTTCCTTGTTGGACCTGTTCTGGACATGGCTTCTGGTCTCCACTCAGGTGAAAGCCAGTGCCAAGGGAGTAGGCTCTTGCAAACTGGAGCGTGATGATACTGCCTCACTGAGCAAAGCAACCCGAGAAGTAGCTGCCTGCACTAGGTCTAGATTTCAAAGTAAGCCTTAGACACACACTGTAAATTAGACCCACCTCATCCAGCAGAAGGCAGGTGGGAAGAACTGACATTCCAAAATAAAAATGTTATGGGTTTTAATCTCTTTCTGTTTCGTAACATTAGTTTGTTAGGAGTGCGGTGGGCTTTAAAAATCTCTCCGGGTGGATGATCCCAGGCTCTTCTTTAAAATGTCTCAGCAAACTCCCTGTCCGTGCAGTGTTGCATGAGTTACGTTGTCCCTGCACTGGTTGGCAGAGGAAAGCAATTTCTCTGAGGCGGGATTTGAACAACCGGCTACATACCAAGTGCACTGAGTCAGTGCCAGTAAATCCTAAGTCCTGAATCACCACTGAGCTCTTCAGAGACACTTCACTACGATACATGTTCCTCTTCAAACATGAAAGTTATGTTCTCTTAATTACTCAGTGCCTGTGTTGACTTTAATTCAAGATTTTGTTTCATTCATTCCACCTGAGGCCATGTTTTCCCTGCAAAAGAAATCCTACATTTGCCTGGGCTGGCTATCTCAGGGTAACATCTCCTAAGAACAAGGTGACTTCCCCGGAGAGGCTGCTAATTGAAGCAGTTATTCAGACCTATTCCCTCTTCCTTTACCAGCTGCATCAAGATGTAAATTACAAGTGCTAATAATTTTGGTTAAGATACTTCCCTTATGGTTTTAGGTTAAAAATTCTGAAAAATTGTACAAGTGTTCCTTGTACTAGGGCACAGACTTTGTGTATTTAAATCTGTTCCCTCTGTGCTTTTCTGCTGATCTTACAGCTGTACCACATTTTTGTGAAACTGATCTTTTTATTTGCTTTCATAGGCAATCTCTCAACTGTAGAAAAGGACGTTAAGTGAAAAACGTTTCAATTCTACATGAGATCAAAGGGGTTACTAATTACGCTATTTCTTCAAGATTGTCAGAAGAAAAATAGGAATGTCTGTTAAAAACATTGAGAACTTCCTGGTTCTGATGTTTTTAACCTTTTCCAATTTGAAGATCCCTAAGATTTTTCCAGTGAACCACTGCTATTTGAAGTCTATGGACAATAGACTTGTAATTTGCCTCACTACTTCAGATGCAATCTGCAGATCGCCCTGAAAATGACTGTTGTAACCTGTTCCATCAATAAATAAATAAACTGGATTTATGAAAAGGAATCAAGGCCCTGATGATATAAATCGGATCAAAAAGAGATTTTTCAAATGCAAACGGAGGCCTCTCTGCATCTCGAGGCGACTCACTGTGTCTGGCCTGTGTCAGTGGGGCGCTACACTCTGACGGCAAAGCCACTGATAAATCCAGTATGTTTCAGCTCTGTGTGCTTTGTTGGTGGATGTATATTTTTTTTCTTGCTGTTACATTTGCTGAGGGAGCATGATCTAACCCAAAAGCATGTGGAAATTAAACTGAAGTGGGCAAATGTGTGCATCATGCCTAACAACTGAAGTTAGACTATTCCTAGTGAAACTTTGCGCTTTTCTTTTCCTTCCCCCCCAGGTCTTTGCTGAGCCCTCCATCAGTCTGTTCGCTCTGGAGTGCTGCAAGGGCAGAGAGCTGCACTTCAGTGAACCCATCAATTCTGTTTTGAATGAGGACCTTCATTTTTACACTCAGTCTGTATGGGTGAGAAGTGGATTGTAAGTATGGAAGAAATATTCTTGCCAGTTTTGCGTTACAGGAGCTAATACTGAGCATGTGTTTTGTCCCAATTACTGCCTTTTTTCACAGGATGTGTTTTACATTCTAACTTTTATTTTGAGACAATATGAAATCCTAAAATGCTGTTGAATGCTAGACCCACTTCCTGTATCGGGACCCAAAATGAACAAAAACTCTGGGCAGAGGGTGTATTTCCCCCTGTAAGAATCGTCCTTTTATCCCTATACAGTAACGAACAATAGAGACTGTTGTTCAAGCCAGGAACCAAAAGTAAATAAGTTTTGATTGCTGACTTACAAAGGCAGGTAGAGTAAACTCGGACTGCCTTGATTAACTGGCTGTAAAATACCAGCTAAAAACTGCAGTGATTTAACTTAAACCACTGCAGTGGTTCAGTGAAGCTTGACATGCTGATCGGCTGCCAAAGAGGCAGCAACTTCTGAGAGAAGTTCGGGGCGGATCTGACAGCTGGAACAGTAATTTGCTTCTGTTACTAGTTTAACCCCCCTCCATGAGTATGAATACACATCCAGGGTCTTCTGTGAAAACCATTTACATCTGCAGAAGTGACCTTCTAACCTCTTCCGCAGCTTCCCATTTCACCTTTTGGAGAAACTCCCAAATATTCTTTCTCAGTCAGGGTTTCAGCCTCCACATCCACAGCAGCAACAAATAACTGGCAGAGTCTCATCCTGCAACTGAGATTGACTGGAAACTGCTGTTCTTCTACTGTTACATACATTCCCTGTGTTTATTTTTAACCTTTTCCCCACCTTTTTCATATAGACAAGGCTGTAATTTTCTCGAGAGATCTTACGGGATGACACAAAACCACGCAAAATTTTAACTAATTGGGCAAGGAATTAGTGTAGACTGTTCGTGGCTTAGGTATATCACTGTTGCGATTTTTACGATGAATTTTTCAAACGCATCTAGTCTGTTACCACCTAGAAGTCAAAACCCTTCCACAGATGTCTGTGATAACACTGCTGAGCGCTCCTCTGATTCTTTGAGGTTGGTACAAAGGCTAAGCCTAACCTAGCTAATGCTCCAGAGCACCGTGGACTGTTTTCTTTCAGGAATTTCACACAGCGTTTTCTTGAAAGGTTGGTTAAGCATTGAACCTTCCTTTCTTTAGCAGTCAGTGGCGATTGACTTTAGCTGTGGGCCCATAGTGAATGTAAGCTTCCCCACAGAGCTTTGCCAGTTCTCTATAAACTCTAGTCCCTAACATCTGTGCCACTTCCATCCTGAGCCCTTGCTGAAAATATATGAAAAGCGATCATCTGCTGCTGTTGTCTTGAGGTGCCCCAGGTGAGAGTGGCAAGCAGCTGCCATTTGAGGCTGAGAACAGCATACACGCATTCCCCATGATCTGTGCTACTTTGGAGGAGGAAAGGCCTTCTTTGGGAGGAACGCCTGACTTGTTTCTGGTGGGAGCGTGTAAATCTTCATACCTCTGTGGAGGTGTTACAGTCCAAAGTGTGTCCTGTTGGGGAACGCCTCTTTATGAGCTTTCTCTGCCTTCTCATCAGGGGTGTGGAACTGGAAATTAAATCCCTTTGCCCATGCAGTTGGCTGTAGAGGAAGGGTGGTGGCTTTGGGACCACATAGTAGAAAAGCACGGGAGAGTGAGCGCAACAGTCCAGCCCCTTCTCCGTCTTCCTGTTCATTTCTGAGTATCCAAGCCAGGTTAGCTGGTTCCCTGTCTCTGGGAAGGGTCAGGGCAGAATGGCTGGGCTTTCTCTGAGCTCCTTGTGATGCTCCCTAGGAAACAGACCTCCGCAGGCTGTCCCCATCCCACACTGCAGATAGGTGGCCTAAAGGTTGAGGGTGGCAGGCGATCATGGGAAGTCTGTGGGATGTCCTAGAGGGTTGGTTTGCCTTATCTGTGATGAAGAGTTCAGGAAGGTGGATTTAGAGGTTTTTTGGCTCCTTGCCCCAAAGCCTACAGTCAACTTTAGACAAATGACAAAGACTTATGTAAATATACCGATGGCATCTTGCTGCCAGGCTTAGGTACAAGGATCCTTCCTGAGCCAACTGACCACCTCAGTCAGAAACAGCACGAGCCTGGACTGTGGCTTGGCAAACAGGGCTGGGGGCTGAGGTGCTCCAAGGTGTGGGAAAGATGGCACAGCAGAGGCTGCTGGTCTGCCTGAGCTGAGCTGAGTTTTGTCTGTGTCGCTGAATGCCAGAAGCCCAATGTGGCTTCAGATGGTTATTGCTGTAACAGTCCTTCCCCTCCCTGGTTTCCTATATATGCCTGCTTTGGCAACAGAAACTGCATTTCCAGTGAGACTGATGCTCCAAGAAAAACGTTAACACTGAATTCTCAGTGACTTCACAGAAAGCATCGCGAGAAAAAAGTCAGGAATGTGTTAGAAATAAAGGAACACACAACCGGTGGTCAGGCTGCTCTGAATACCTGTTAGTCAGGAGGTATGGGACTTAATTTGAAGAAAGAGTGATACAGCCTCGTTACAAGGCAGTTCACAGTCGGCACATTTTAGCCTCCACGGAGTCCTGAGCAAGGCTGGCTGTCAGTTTCTCCAAACTGCGTGCAATGAGGAAAAGTAAATTACAGGTGCTGTGAGCACTGTGCGTGCATGTTGTCTCACTGACTTAAGAGTGCAGCCATCCCTCATGTTCTTGGCAGCTGACCTGTAAAACAGGTAACGTGGGGAAACCAGTATTTGCTTTGTGTTCAGATGAGTTAATGAGCCAAGCTTTAGGATTCACTGTCTGCACAACAATGTCCTATTGATACAAACCAACCCGATCTGTGATCCTGAGGCTGCCTTTGTAAGCAGCAACACACTACCTACTGAGCGCATGTCTAGGTAACAAGGGATCTACATGTGCCAATGCTTTAACTCTGCGTTAACAAAGTATTCAGCCATGCCTATGGCTCAGATACATTCACTACAGGAAAGTCTGTTGCAGTAATGTATAGGCTTTGGAGTAAGTATTTTGTATGTGTTTTCAGACAAGTGGAATAGCTACAGGAAGCTTTAACTGTAACAAAAGAAAACATTGGACAAGATCCTCTCATAATTAACACGTACAGCCAGGCAAAGCTGGAAGTACAACTGTCTGGTGTGTGGCTTCCTAGTTTCCTAATGCATGCCCACTGAAACCTGCATTATTCCCACCCGGGTTCATGCAGGAGTTCTCATATTTGAGGGAAAGATTTGGGCAGGGAGTTTATAAGTTCCAGGCAAACAAATAGAAAACAGGTCTTAATTTAGACAGAAAACAATTAAACCACTGAAACGGATGGCATTTTGCGGCACAGTAATACAGGTTTGATGTTAGCACTACTGTGGAGAGGTTTGGGGGCTTTCAAGAGCACAGTCCTGAACACAAGCCTGTAGTTTAGTTTTGCTGTGGTTAACGTGTAGTCTTTCATGTTCTGTGTTCTGTATCCAGGTGGATTGCATACGAAGGATGTAATTTTTTAGGAAAGCAGATTCTGCTGGAGCCCAGTGAGATTTCCAACTGGAATGAACACAGTGGCTGGAAAGTAATTGGCTCCCTTCGTCCTATGAAGCAGGTACTGTAACAGTCTATGAGGACAACTTGTTTTTTTGGACAGGGAGTAGTGCACAAGTGTTGGCTCTAGCACCAAGTATAATGGCGTGCATTGTACTCTTAATCAGGCCAAATGATGACAGCCAGAAGGACCTACTGGAAGATTACTGAAGCAGAAAATTCCTCCAGTGGCAGTTCTGGAGATCTATATTAGGCTCCTAAAGGGAAATAATTCCTAGTTTCTTGGAGCCAAGTTTTGTTTTTCTGAATGGCTGATGAGCATGTTCTGTAGATGCCCTATTTTAACATTTTTGCCATATAACAATACTAATGAGAAAACCAATTCTACAGTGGCTTGTTTCATAATTAACATAAATGGAAGCAAGAACAAATTTTATTGTGCTGTAGTCTGGATTTCCAAAAGACAAGCAGTCCCACCAGATTTTCCCTCTCTGCCTCACCCCAAGTAATGCCGATTTCAATCTCATTCAAAGATTCAGGTCTCAAAGCCACCAAGTTCTTCAGAGCTTTGGGAAAGGCAGATAGAGAAGCAAGACTGAGATAAATGCCCCTCATTCAAGGAAAAGCAGGTACAATTCTGCTTCTCTGCCTTTCCAAGACGCATCAGGTCATCAGTGACACACATAAGCTGCAAACCAGTCAAAGCACATGTTGCTGCATGCCCAGCCACGCAGCCGTGGGAGGGCAGCGTCCGGGCAGATAGGAAAAGGATGGGGGAGAGTGGCAGGGAATGCGAGCAGTAACTTCACTGGAAAAGAGTTTTCATGAGCTCTGCTTCTCACAGAACAAATTGTTTCCACTTAGTGACAAATGCTGCTGTACGTTTAAGCACTAGATTCAGCCGGGGAACTGGGGAAATGTTGCAGTGAACAAAAATCATAGAATCATAGACTAGTTTGGGTTGGAAGGGACCTCTAAAGGTCATCTAGTCCACCCCCCCTGCCGTGGGCAGGGACATCTTCCACTAGATCAGGTTGCTCAGAGCCCCGTCCAGCCTGACCTTGAATGTTTCCAGGGATGGGGCATCCACCACCTCTCTGGGCAACCTGTTCCACTGCTTCACCACCCTCAGCGTAAAAAATTTCTTCCTTATATCTAGTCTGAATCTAACCCCCTTTCGTTTAAAGCCATTCCCCCTTGTCCTATCGCAACAGGCCCTGCTAAAAAGTTTGCTGCTAAATAATCATCTTTAGCATTAGTTATGCATTATTCCCCCCCCCCAGTGATTTGTTAGACTAAGAAGTTGACAGCTCCCTGGAATTCTTTGGAAGTGGTAACTACCAAAGGATCCCATTTTAGCTCTGTTTTTGCAAATAATAATGAAAATAATTTGTGCTGATCTTAAAAACAGAATTCTCTCTTCAGCCAGCAATCTGAAGAGCTTTTGTACTGTGTAGCATCCTTTTGTACACTGCAACAGTGAGTCATGTTACAAGGCCTCCTTCAGCTACGTTGCTGGCACTCTTGCCATTTGGGGTTTGTGTGATTATTTTTTTGGTTTTGTTTTAAAGCCTGCAAACTGAGGGCTTCCTTGAGTTTGTACAGTCAGCTACCTGTGCTTGACACTTCTGTGGGCATATGGTCATATTTTTTGAGACCGGAGTAATAATTCAAACCCACACCACCTTATATTTCTTCCTTCTAGCTCCATTACAAATTACAAAAACAGTCGGGTCTGCCAGCGTAAAGGTAGTGCAAGAAAAAGCGAAACATTTGAAACTCATGCAAAATGCGACACGCAAGTTTTGCTCAGTGGCTTCGTAATACAATCCCTTCCTCATAAAGAGTAACTATACACTGCACTAATACATGTTAGTCTATAGATGCTTGGTGGGAGAGAGGCTTTACTGTCTGTACCTTAGTGTTTGTTTTAATATGAAAAAAAGGAGATTCAAAGCTCCTGGAAGAAAAATTATGCTTGAGTTGGGGTTCCAGCAGAGCTGCCTTTTATAACCCACTCTTCTTTATTCACCGAAATCAGTGAACAACAGAGCAAAAGCTCAAACCCTGTAGTAGCCCTACAAAATCTCCTTATTTTTTGAGTAATCTGAGTAAACGGGGATGCCAAGCCAGTACCCTGTTTTCCGTGTATGTTCAAAAGCAATGGTGTAACTTCTTTGCCATATATTCCAGTTAATGGGGGTTGAAGTTGCTGGATACGTGACTCGGGAAGTCTTGTGTCCCGAGAATAAAAAGCTTGTGCAGTACAGCCCATTACCGGCCTTGGAATGAGTGAAATGTGCTGAACTAGAGATATTTGCACGTCACAGGAATTAGTTCTATAGACATAAATACGTTAACAAAAAAACCCCAAAACAATCTGCCATTGCTGCTTACAGCTTTCTGTCTGCATGTGAAAAACACCTCCTCCTGCTTTACATGCACATTTGTTTCCAACAAAAAAATTATTGAACATCCTCATCTGAAACTGGAACATATACTTTAGAAAACTGATACAAGCTGGAGGGGAGGCATTCTCACATTGACTTTCTTAATCTCTGTGTTATAACTATCTTCCTTCACACTATTTCAGCCAGCAGTGTACCTCAGAGTGAAGAACCGAGCCCAAGGTAAATATCTGACAGTTGCTGGAAGCCTGGCAGATATAAGAGCAACATCAGTGTGCGCGTCCCCATACAATGGCAAGAACACCCAGATCTGGCACTACTGTCGTGGACTTTTCAAATCCAAGGTGAGTTTCCAGATGCTGGAAGGGGGTGGGTTGTATCACCTGCTGTCCTTTCACCTTCTCTTCCCGCTTCTACTGTCGGCTAGCATTAACACCAGGATAGCTTTTGGCCTCTCCCGTGCATCTTAGCCAAAACTCTTATAACCCACATGCTCCTGCTGTGTATAGACAGAGTTGATCTGTCTGCTGTGGCAAGTTGGACTACTTTTCACATCTGTCTAAGGGGACTGGTGTTCCTGGAAGTAGAAACCTGGTTTTGTCTAAAGTCGCAAGTTTAAGTTTAGTACCTCTGAAGAGTTAAGAATTTCTCTGAAGAGTAATAGGCAAAGAAAGTAAGTGATTTTGTATTAATGCTGCCCTTGACAGTCTGTTATTAATGTAAAAAGCTGATGATTTAACGTAAGAAACACCTGAAGTAACAACGACCGCCACCTTTGATCAAGCAACTGGTCAGTTGCTGAATAATCTGTTCTAGCTTGCTTGCCAGGCTTGTTGCCAACTGTAGCATGATTGCTGCGATATGCTCGGTGCCTGAAACAGAAACGAGTCAGACACAAACCCGAGGCTTTGTGGCCTGGATCTCTCTTCTCTTCTTGTTCCTTAGGCTAACAATGCCTGTCTGGACGTCATTGGTGGCAGAGATGTGTCTGGGGCCAAAGTCGCGCTCTGGGCAGAACATGGGAAGGACAGGCAAAAGTGGAGACTCAATGAGGATGGAACCATCAGTTCATACCTCAGCGACCAACTGGTGCTTGACATTAAAGGTATTTTAAAAAAACCCAAACGACTAAACCTCACATGTTCAAAGTGCATTTTTGATTGAGGTTAATTGCCGTATTCCAGCTCTTTGTAGTTAAGGTTAAATACCGAATCCTATCTTTCCTGTTAGGTTTAGGTCTGGGTGCTTGACAGTGGGACAAGAAACAACAGGGCAGGGAGGAACCTTACTTGTTTGATCCCAGAGGTTTATTTCGATCAGATCAGCTACTCTACTTGAGGGAGTTCAGTAGCGCTGATGGCAAGAAACGCAAGTTCCGGAAGACAAAATGGTGAAGGAAGAGCAGCCACGGAATAGGTGTGGCTCAAAAAGAGAAGAGTGCTCACTCCTAATGCTTTCGGGCTGGTTAAAATTGTCACTGCTCAAGTCCTAGTCCTTCCAATTATCCGTCCTGGTAGAACTACCTCACTGGGGAATGCCTGTTCCTCACACACCATTTGTTCAAGCCCTGCTGCTGGCGCTGGGGTTTTAATCCTAGGGAAAGGTAGCGGGGCAGCGACTGCGGTGGCTGGTTATGAGGTCGGGGGCTCTGTGGTGCTGTCTTCTCGGATGAAAGGTCTAAGTAAATTAATTGATAGCCTAACACTCCTGCAGGGCTTACAGACCAGGGTAAGGGCACGTCCCACAGGTGAAGTCATCGACCTTTTCAGTGAAGGTCCTACTGGCCGTTACCCATCTGACCTCTGCAGCTCAGACTTAACTGATAATGAATTCTCAGCCCCATGATGCCGAACTAGTAGAGCATTCCT